TATTTTCAGCTAAGAATGAGTTGGAGCCTTCTAAACCATCTCAGTTCTTGCACTAATTGCTCTGGTCATGACAGGTAAGCTCAAGAGCTGATGAGGACTCAAAATGAGAGTCCTTACAAATCTACAGCTCATTACAGGAGAAAGGAGAAGCCTACCATGTACCAACAACATTAAAAGAGGGCCATGCGTCACAACCACAGGGTGGGATCTGCAGAGGCCAAGTCCGAGCTCCAAGTGCCCTCTCTCTGTCAGGGCCAGAACAGGGTGCACATTCTCTCTTGGATCGAGAACCACCAGTGTGAGCACAGAACACTTTAGAAACCAGGGCTCACCCATCAGAGTCTCAGCCAGGATTGCTTATAACTGCTGGTGCCCTGGATATCTTCTCCCTATATTTGTTGTTGTTCAGTCTCCCAGTCGTGTCTGACTCTTTGCAACCCCAGAGACTGCAGCACACCAGGCCCTCCTGGAGTTTGCCCAAGTTCATGTTCATTGCATCAGTAATGCCGTCCAGCCATCTCATCCTCTGACTCCCTCTTGTCCTTCTGCCCTCAATCTTTCCCAGCACCATGGGCTTTCCCAATGAGTCATCTGTTCACACCAGGTGACAAAAATACCAGAGCTTCAGCTTCAGCATCAGTCCTTCCAGTGACTATTCAGGGTTGATCTCCCTTAAGATTGACTGGTTTGATCTCCTTACTGTCCAGGGGACTCTCAGAAGCCTTTTCCAACACCACAATTCGGAGGCATCAGTTCTTTGCCATTCTGCCTTTGCTCCCTACATAGCCAGTCCCAAACCCAGTGGCCTCCATGGGCCTCACTGAGACCAGGTAAAAATGGCTAATGTTACTGCTAGCAGTATACAACTGTGATAACCTGTAACCCATGGCTACCCATAAACACAGTGAGTCACTTCTTTTTACTGCTTTGATCAAGGCTCCGCATTGTATGGCTGGTTTTAGCAAAACAGGCCTTGCCAACCTCAGAGTCTCTGGAATTAACTCTCGCAGCAAAGATAACTACATCAAAGCACATTGACTTTCTCGCTCGGCAGAGATACTTTTGAGAAGTCCTTCAGCCTGAAGGGTAAGCCACCTGTGGAAAGATGTGAAGTCCACACAGCCTCCTCTTCCCACAGACACCTTCCACCCGGGCCAGAAAGGCAGCAGACACGTAGGAGTTACCCACCCTGTCTGTGTCTGTACTACTGAGGTTACAGGATTGTTGATATGTTAACACGGGGTATCCCGGTTGACCCACAGAACGAGCCCAGGGTTATGTTTGTGTGGGCACCACCAGACTTACTCTGACCAACATTTTGGTGCTTTTTTTCCTCCCCATATTATTGCTAGTAGAGAAGGGAGGGTAGTTTTTTTTTTTCCTGTACAATCTGGAAGGATTACCTCTGCCACCCACCTTTCTTCTTTTCAGTACATGCCCCCACCTGTCGTGCCATAATACCCAGAGCAAGTCTCCTCTCTGGTCTCAATTTTCCCCAACTGCAAATGCTTCTGAAAGGGGCTTTCTAGTTCACAACACTGAAGATTCTGTACAAGACAAAAAAAAAAAAAAACAAATCCAGCAAAACTCCTCACTTGTGGCATATATAGAAAAAAATGGTGTGGACATTTAAGCCTAGGATGTTAAGAGGGTGAAAAAGTGAAAGCGTTAGTCATTCAGTCATGTCCGACTCTTTGGGATCCCATGGACTGTAGCCCGCCAGGCTCCTCTGTCCATGGGATTCTCCAGGCAAGAATACTGGAGTGGGTTGCCATGCCCTCCTCTGGGGGATCTTCCCAACCCAGGGATTGAACTTGGATCTGCTGCACTGCTGGCAGATTCTTTACCTTCTGAGCCAGGTGATCAGGCCCACGCAGCACCTTGGGAACCATTCATGGGATCCTGTGCTTGAGACCCCACCCACCCCATCCCCTTTGTTTTCTACTTTTCTTGCTTAGCAAAGAGAGCCCTGGAGAGCTGGTCATTTTTTGTCTTGCCCCCTCTGTCACCCCCAGATGGTCCCTATGCTTCACTGGCATCCAAACCTTTAACATCCTCTACCGTCAAAATAATTTTTGAAAGAAAAGGTGTATTAGAACATACTTGGATTTTTTTTTATAGCTTTAAAATATATTCCCTAGTGAATACACTAAAGAAGATATATTCTTCCCCTAAATGGAAATTCCTAGCTTGAGGTAAAAGGATAGTTTCACAGAATTGTGACTGCTGGTTGCTTGTTGAGGCTTCTGGAAACAACTAATCATTATGTTTAATGTTTCATCAAAAAATGCCAGTGTGTTCTCCAAGATGCTCATTTCGCACAGTTAAGTATATGTTTGTGTGGCAATTACATTGCCCCTATGGATTTTCTCACGTCTTTGCAAGTCCATGGTATCGGCTCTATATACCTCAATAGGAGTCTTTTACCAATTATTCCGTGAAAGTGGAGTTCTGTTTGATATGTTAATTTTAGGAAAATGTGTTCTCCAGTCTTCTGTGATGGATCATTCTCCTGTTTAACGACATTTGGTTTTAGCAGAGTGCACTGCACAGTATTTCTCTTCCCAACTGTGTCATCTCCTACTCCTATGATTTCAGAGCAGTTGCTTTGCACCCCTCTGGAGCTATCGATGATCCTAATTTCCTATTCTGTGTATTACCCATTCACCTGTACAGAGAGGAGACTAGGCCCCATAAAAAGAAAAGAAATGCCATTTTGCTGTTGGTTGTTTGTGTCCATCACACAGGGAAATTAGACTCTTCATACCAAAGTGAGTCTTACAGATTCTCACTTGTTAGTTCTTATATCCATGGATATAAAGCAAAATATCTATCATGATTAAGGAAAAGTAACAACAACAACAACAAAAAAAAAAACAGTAGAAAAACTTTGAACCACCCACTGCTTCCCTCAATATACAAAGAAACATGTTGGGAATATTGGTATTTGGAGGAAGTCTGGTCTTCTCTTCTGCTGATGAAAATGGTGTGCTGATTATGTACATACGTACCTGAAAACCCGTCCTGAGAGGAAATCACGCACATAGCAGAGAGGATGAAAGTTGGTGTCCTTTGTTTCTGCATCTCCCTCTGGTCTGCCATACAGTCCCCACTCAGCCTTCCCCTCCTCTTGTCCCCCTACCTCCTTGTATTGTTATTTTTTTTAATCATTTTTTTTCTTTTTCCTACCTCCCTCCCTTTCAAATCAAGTTATGTTCCTTTCTGCCACTTGAAACACAGTCTCAGCTTCCATGTAAAGAGGTCATTCCTTTATCTTGAGAGTATTTTTAAGCAGAAGAGTGGGGAGCTTTGATTTGATAGGATGAGTGCTCCGTCAGGGTATTGTAGGGAGACTGGTCCATGGACATAGAGGGCTTTACTCAGTGGGATGAAAGACAAAGTAAACAAACAAACAAACACTTGCATCCACCATGGGGTCTCTTCATGCTTCCAGGGAAACTTCAAAAGGATACTATTTTCCTTTTTGAAAAAAAACATGCAGTACATAGGTATTAACATGCACAGGTATTAACCACTATTTTGGGGTTTTGTCCTTAACATTTAATTAGAACTAGCCACAAACAGTAACTAGGAAAATGCATTAAAGCCTTAAATTTGCATCTGTTTAGTGCGGGGCATGACTGTGTTTATCTGAAGTTACATTCAGAATTTTCTTGCCTCCTCCCCCAGGGTGCATGAGAAATTAACTTTTTTTTGACTCTCTCTTTCTCTCTCAGAGGACTGAGAATGTAGACTAGAGCTTAGATGTATAAGGTGTCATAAAAGCAATGCTGTTGCATTCTCAATTTGGCTAATAAATTGACTTTAGAGAAAAACATCTTCCTGGGACCCTTCAGAGTAAAGCTTATGATTTACTGATGTTGGACAAGGTTGAGGTTTCACTTTTGATACATGTTTGTCTTTCAGTATACCATTAAATACCATCTTAGATCATGGAAACCTCCCATTCCCCACCAGACTTACAAAGTTCTTGTGCTGTGCTGTGCTCAGTCGCTTCAGTCATGTCCAACTCCTTGCAACACCATGGACTGTAGCCCAACAGGCTCCTCTGTCCATGGAATTCTCCAGGCAAGAATACTGGAATGGGTTGCCATTTCCTTCTCCAGGGGATCTTCCCAACCCAGGAATCAAATTTCACACATCTCCTGCATGAAATATACAGTAGGTGAAAGGAGAAGTAAGTGAGCCTTAGATCTGAAAACTGGATGGGTGATGCAGTTATTTTAGTTTGTCTATAGAAGATTTTAGTGAAGTTGAGTATTTTTTTACCTAGTGTTAAAGTATCAAGAGAGATTAGGAGGTGACTGATATTTCAAGGAGAAAAATAGTTAATGATTATAAATGCATAGCTGGAAATCGAGTTTACACAACCCTAACCATACAGATTAATCAAACTGACCTTCTCTGATACTAATACAAGAAAGTACTGTTAGGAACCTTTGAAAATCTCTAGTAAAACAGTTTTATTCCCCCCTGTGATTTGGGTGGAAATGACTGTGTTCCTATAGAACACTATGGGTCCCTTTAACTCCCCCAAATTACCCAATAGTTCCAACATAGGTACTGTCTCTTCACTCACTTCTTCACCCATTGCCAGTGAGACTTCAGAACAACCTCTGAGCTTGTGAATAAGTGAATAAGTGAAAGTTGCTTAGTCATGTCCGCCCCTGCGACCCTATGGACTATACCACCCATGGAATTCTCCAGGCCAGAATACTGGAGTAGGTAGGCTTTCCCTTCTCCAGGGGATCTTCCTGACCCAGGGATCTATCCAGGGTCTCTTGCATTGCAGCTGGATTCTTTACCTTACTCATCAAACTCATAGCCAAGGGATGGGAGAAGACACTTCAATAAGAGAGGGTAGGGTTCAGGTTTGGTGTTTACTAAAGGTTATAAGACCATCCTACTAGGATCATCAGAAACAGGAACAGAAGGGTTTTCCCCTTGAAATGACCGGTGATGTTCTGTGGCTCTTGCAGTGGATCTTTTGAGCCTGTCAGCCGCATGTGATGCCTTGGACCAGCACAACCTCAAGCAAAACGACCAGCCCATGGACATCCTGCAGATCATTAACTGTTTGACCACTATTTATGACCGCCTGGAGCAAGAGCACAACAATCTGGTCAACGTCCCTCTCTGCGTGGATATGTGTCTCAATTGGCTGTTGAATGTTTATGATACGTACGTATGGCAGGCTTTCTTCAGACTCTACCACGGGAGGCCTAGTTTACAGAACAGTGACGGTGTAATTAGCATCACAGCAGGGCTTTGGTCTCGAAATATGGTCCTCAGGATGAAAGTTTCATGAAGCCGTGTGACCAAATGCTATCCCTGTGATTAATCATTTTTGCATTTAATGGAACCAAAAAAAAATGTTTTGATATGCTGGGAGGTAAAGAACTAGGATGTAGATTGCACTCAGATTAGAAAGCAGACAAAACCCCAAGATACTCATTTTTCCAGTAGTAGGATGAGTCAGTGTGTAGCCGTTGGTTCTTGCCCTTGCTAGCCTGCGTATCTTGAATTCCTCCACCCTTTTTGGGTGCAGCTCCTTCTACCCAAAGAGATGCACTCCTGGAGGAGTGACACTCCTGTCCCCAGCTCCAAATAGTGTTAGCTGATACTCAAGAGATTTTTGCAGAGGAGTGTGAATGGTTATGCAAAAAGAAAAATGAAAACAAGCCCTTAATGCAGCAAATTTAGATCCTCAAATGGAGGAATTCTGTTTGTTTTTGTTTTGTTTTTTTTATAAATCAGGATTGACGAACTTTTAGTTTGGCACCTCCATTCATGCCTCTATCTGAGAGAGTGCTTGTTTTTATCTTTGGGATTGCCTCCCCCACCCCCAGTTTTGTCTTGAGCTTAATGAAGACAACTGAGGAAGGTAGCAGCAGGAATTGGTCTTAATTTCAACTGAATTCTTCTTAGACATCAAACTTATTATATGCCTGATTTCACATGTCAGCAAGAACATATTCCGCATTTAGAAATCTGGGAAGCTTTTCTGAAAGGAGTCGCATAGCAACTATTTTAGTTTTGCCTTTGCTGTAGATTTCTACCACCTCCTGGATTAAAATGTATACTTTTTTTTCCTTTGTTATTTTGCTAAGACAGTGCTTGTTAAATTCCAAGGCTATTGAATTCTCAGCATTATCTACCAAGCCCTTGATCATGTCGGATTTTAATTGCGGATTATACTCACATTTGCTTTGAGAAGGGTTTCTATTCAGGTCTTCCCTCAAATATATTTCAGCACCCATTTTCTTTGCAGATGATGTACAAATGAATTCTGAGTATATGACTTCCCTTCTCTATGCCTGAAAATTATTTGGGGACAATGTTAACTCCTTGAAGACCTGAGTTACTGTATAAAATTTGTGAAACTTTTGATTTGCCTTTTTAAAGAGGGAAAATGGTAAAAACTTTCCAGTGATAATACTTTTTCGTGAATGTATTAGGACCCAGGATTTCTGTTTGACTAATGTATTTAGTAAGTTGTACCAGTTGCAAGCTGAGCATATTGTTCACTAAAAGTAACCACTCTTTAGACCTATCCTTTGCAGTTATTCTACATACTTTTTTTTTGAACCAAGATATATGGTTCAGTTGTTTTTCTTAACAAAATAAAAGCTGCAAATGATCAAAAGACAGATTTTACAAAATGAAAAACTTGTGTGTTCCCCATGGATACAATGAACTTGTTAATAAATCTGTCATGTAGAATGGTTTGTATGTAAAGTAAAATCATATGTATGTTAAAACATTGTTATAGCAATAGGATATTTTTAAATTGCTCCTTAAGATCGTCTGTTCCAATGCCCTCTAATAGATTGTATCATATTTTTTCTTGTAGAGATAAATGTTTGTATTTTATACTATGTGTCTTGTGGCCTGAAGTGACTAATTTTCCTCTCAGTAAGAGGCAATCTGATGAAAAGCTAAATGAGTGTTGAAGAGGGCAGAGCAGTTAGTTGCTGGTAATTTTTTGGCTTCAGTAACCAAAGTGGGTAAATTGCTTAGCACATACTAGTAATTCTTCCCCTTATCTACTTAAACCCAGGTGGTTCTCCGAAGATAAATAAAAGAATCTTTTTCTTATTTTATGTAGAGAAATGCTTGCCATTCAAGTTAGGTCTTTTAGAAACTGAAAACGTGGTAAATGTTCACTGGTCAAGTTGGTCAGATTTCCATTTCATTCTAGGTCATCAGCCAAATAGATAATGAACTCAGAAATGTTAATGATCTTAATAAAACAATGGTCAATAGAGTTCCCACATCCAAGTTTTTTCCCCTTAACTAAGAAGTGTTTATCTTTCAAGAAAGTGTCAGTAATTGTTTTCTGCTTTGATTATTCATAATAGGGGACGAACAGGGAGGATCCGGGTCCTGTCTTTTAAAACTGGCATCATTTCTCTGTGTAAAGCGCATTTGGAAGACAAGTACAGATGTAAGTCATGTGTACCCTTTTATTAATGTTGGCTAATTACCCCAGTTCTAGATGGGGAATGACACAGTGTTCTTCGTTGACAGCAGGTTCCTCGTTTAAGATGTAAAACTACTCTTAGACAGGCATAAAATTTGGTTTGTGCCGTTCTCTGTCAGACATGAAATTGTAGGTATTTAAGTAGAGAACGAGGATTAGCTTCTCCAGTATGAGTATTATTTTACATTACATCAACTGTGTCTGAATAAAACACATGTTCCTTGGGGATAAAGTCTGATTTCCTAACCCCTTTGTCTAAGTCAGAAAAAATAAATGTGAAGGTTTAATCCATGCACATGCCTCATCTTTGGATTCTTATTTAAAGAGTACTATCTGGCATTCATGTTCAACAAACCTTGTTTATTTTATAATCATCTTACTGCGAATTTTACTGACATATCCAATTCTATGATGTGATTAACGTTTTATTATTTGAGAGACAGCTTGCCATTTCTTACAGGGTAAATATCACCTTACAGAATTTCCTTTGATTAGCTGTTGGGCTCTTCTGCATAAAATTTGTAAATCCAAATTAAAAGCAAATGCTAGCGGAAGGATGGTTGAGGTGACGAAGCAACCGTTCTTTCCCATTGTGAAGGCATGTACTTGTTTTTCCCCTTTAAATGCTCATGAGAAATCTTTTCGGTAGGAATATTAAACAAACCTAGTATATCTTGTCTTTTCTCTTTTCCCCTAAGGCCTAGCCCCACAGGGATGTGGAGATGTGCTGAGCTTAAGGATAGGCAGAAGATAAAAGAGATTGAATTCCTACAAAGCCATTCTGTGTCCTACTGCTCACTTCCCCCCAGGAGTAAACCACAAAATACACAAGCTCTTTTAGCTCTCACTTTTATGTAGTTTCCACTTGAGTTTTTCTCATCCTAAGAACCCAAGAAAAAAGAACAGCTTTCGTTAGCTGTTTGAAAATATGTTTTGGATGAAACAGAATATTTCTGTGGGCTTTCGTCCTTTAAATATTGTAGCTACTTGTTGTAGGTTAGCTTTTACTCTAAGCTTGCTAATGGTAAAGTACCAGCACATCATAATACTTACTTGATAAACCAAGGAAGCTTCTAGCCTGTGTTTCAACTATTATACTAAGAGGGAACAGGTTTGAGGTTGGCCAAACAAAAATATTAACTTCAAACTGGGATGTTTGAAGGTAATTCATAATTTTGAAATTTTGTGGATGTACTGGAGAGCTGGGCTTGTGGGAGATCTCAAGTGTTGTCACTGCCATCTGAAATAAATATCCCATTCAAACATTGAATTTCTGAGAGTTTAAAGTGTGCATATGAGTAGGGAAAGCTTTCATGGATTGACTTTCTTGTCAACTTTTATTTCAATACAAGATAGGATGAAAATAATTAGATTTCTGAGATCAAAAGCTGTTGCAAGTGTTCAGTGCATTCATTCATTCTGTAAATCCACCTATTTGGGGTACCTGCTATCATTCAGTTGCTGTGTGGTCCCGATTTTGATATATTTTGGGATCTGATGTCCACAGGGGATAGCTCTTTGGGCCCGCTCTATGTCTCTTAATGCTAAAACATTTATTGTACGATGGAGGTCATGTCCTATATATAAACTATTTTCCAGAGGATTACATTCTGGCTTAGGAAAAAGTCACATGTCAGAACTGTATGTAAATTCTCATTTCTTACAGGGCTATAGTTTACTTAAACATTGTCACACTTTATATATACACAGTGGTGATTAACTTGATCCATAAAAGTAATAAATGTGCAGATTAGTGTGCAGTAGAAGCAACCCGTCTGGGCGAGTAGGGAATCCATCTCTCCTCTTGAGAATTGGTACTGGAACTGAGTATGTGGTTTAGTTGTGCTAGCATCTACTTGATGCCACTTTTTGATTGCTGGAATTCTCTTCTTCCTCCTGTAGACCTTTTCAAGCAAGTGGCCAGTTCAACAGGATTTTGTGACCAGCGCAGACTGGGCCTCCTTCTACATGACTCTATTCAAATCCCAAGACAGTTGGGTGAAGTTGCATCCTTTGGGGGCAGTAACATTGAGCCAAGCGTCAGGAGCTGCTTCCAATTTGTAAGTTATTCATCTTCTTGAGTAACATATTTATTCTTGTGCATTTGGGGAATTAATGGAAAAACCACAGAACTGTAGTCTCTCACATTAGCTCTTCCACAGGCAGGTAGGTAGGGGATTTTTGAGATTCGAAACCTCTGTGGGCAGTGGCTTCTGGAACTGTGGGTTTGGGGAGAGAGGACAGTGCACAGGAAGGAAAAGAAGTCTGTGACCACAGCCAGAACCCCACGGGCTCCTAGGGTGTTGGTGGGAAAGTGAATCTGCAGTGATTCAGCTAGGGAGGAAATAAATCTCCAGCCAGAGACATCCTTTGTAAAAAAAGAAAATGACCTCTGTAGGTGAGTTTCATGGTCTCTTACTTTTTTCCCTACCCTAATTCTGTCATCATAACCTTCTTTTCAGTAACTGTTGGTAAACAGTTAACACAGACATCATTTTTTAAGCTTTCCTATTGAAATGCCAAAGAATGCTCAAACTACTGCACAACTGCACTCATCTCACACGCTAGTAAAATAATGCTCAAAATTCTCCAAGCCAAGCTTCAGCAATACATGAACCATGAACTTCCAGATGTTCAATCTGGTTTTAGAAAAGGCAGAGGAACCAGAGATCAAATTGCCAACATCCACTGGATCATCAAAAAAGCAAGAATTCCAGAAAAACTTCTATTTCTGCTTTATTGACTATGCCAAAGCCTTTGACTGTTGGATCACAATAAACTGTGGAAAATTATTAAAGAGATCGGCATACCAGACCACCTGACCTGCCTCTTGAGAAACCTATATGCAGGTCAGGAAGCAACAGTTAGAACTGGACATAGAACAACAGACTGGTTCCAGATAGGAAAAGGAGTACGTCAAGGCTGTTTATTTTCACCCTGCTTATTTAACTTATATCAGAGTACATCATGAGAAACGCTGGACTAGAGGAAGCACAAGCTGGAATCAAGATTGCCAGGAGAAATATCAGTAACCTCAGATATGCAGATGACACCACCCTTATGGCAGAAAGTGAAGAAGAACTAAAGAGCCTCTTGATGAAAGTTGAAAGAGGAGAGTGAAAAAGTTGGCTTAAAGCTCCACATTCAGAAAACTAAAATCATGGCATCTGGTCCCATCACTTCATGGCAAATAGATGGGGAAACAGTGGAAACAGTGGCTGACTTTATTATTTGGGGCTCCAAAATCACTGCAGGTGGTGATTGCAGCCATAAAATTAAAAGACACTTGCTTACTCCCTGGAAGGAAAGTTATGACCAACCTAGACAACATATTAAAAAGCAGAGACATTACTTTGCCAACAAAGGTCCATCTAGTCAAGGCTTTGGTTTTTCCAGTAGTCATGTATGAATGTGACAGTTGGACTATAAAGGAAGCTGAGCACCAAAGAACCGATGCTTTTGAAGACTCTTGGGAGTCCCTTGGACTACAGGGAGATCCAACCAGTCCATCCTAAAGGAGATCAGTCCTGGTGTTCATTGGAAGGACTGATGTTGAAGCTGCAACTCCAGTACTTTGGCCACCTGATGCGAAGAGCTGACTCATTGGAAAAGACCCGGATGCTGGGAAAGATTGAGGGCAGGAGGAGAAGGGGACAACAGAGGATGAGATGGTTGGATGGCATCACTGACGCAATGGACAGGTGTTTGGGTAGGCTCCAGGAGTTGGTGATGGACAGGGAGGCTTGGCGTGCTGCGGTTCATGGGGTCGCAAAGAGTTGAACACGACTGAGTGACTGAACTGAACTGAACTGATTGTAGTTTTGACATTCATCTATTCTTCCAGGGGCTGGGTGCTGCCTATCCATAGGCTTACAACCAAGTTGGAGGTTCATTAATGTCTGTCAGTAGGTCAGCACAGTCCTGTCCATTCTCTTTTGCACACTGCTCCAAGTGCCTTTTCTGCACCATCATCCATGTCCCCAGAAATAGCCTCTTCCTCCTAAATGACTTGTCATTTCATGGATAGACATTTAGGTTGTTCCCCCTTTTTGGTAAGATAGATAATGCTGCAGTGAACATCTTTATGCAGTTAGCTCTTTTCTTTGATTCAAGTTTTTCCCTTAGGATAAATTCTCAGGAATGGGATTACCAGATATAAACAGTTTTGTAGCTTTTGATACATATTACCACATGGCTTTTGGTCAAAAGTTGTTCCTATTTGTAATACCACCAGCACTCAAGGAAGAGATATTTGCAGTTTTACATTATTTGCAGTGTTCTTAACGTTTTTTAAATCTTAAGAACTACAGATGTATGGGGTTTCTCATTCCATTCTAATCTCATTACCGACAGAACTAGGTAAATACGTAACTGGGTTAGACCTGTATATAGTCTTACCACAGACTCAGATAAAACTATAGAGGGCTTCGTGGGCAGAACATTTACATATTTAAAGCAGTTTTAGCATTCATTTAATAGTTAACTGGGCAGATTAAAGAAATGCACATATATGAAGGCTGCTTACATATACTGTTCGGATTGTTTTGCCCAAATTATGGCAAATTAACTATAAAAGTAAAACAGATGTGGAGAAATACATGTATTTTTTTCACCTCATACTCAAATCTCCGAAAACATGAATAGACTATCACTTTCTCTGGGTTTTTTCTAATGTGTTGCTGTATTAGCATTTCTCCTCCAGAACATAGACACAAGTAAATCCCATACAATGAGTATGAATGACCACAAATAATCCAGATTCATTTTTTTTCCAAATCCTATTGTAAAACAACTTGCAGTGACCTACTTTTTCTCCCTAGTGTTGTTTTCTCTTTAGTCGAGTTTCAGTGACTCTTTACAGTCTTACTGTGAAACACACACATACAGAGTGTTAATATACACATATATGTGTACAGTTGTGTGTGTATGTGACTGGGGTTGAGTGCAAGGGTCAGAGCACACACCTGCCGACAGCCATCTGTATTCAGTGATGGTTCCTGCCTTGAGGTCAGGTGAGCTGGCCTCAGAGCCGCTGCAACCATTGTCCCGTTACCTTGCAGGACTGACATTGCCACCTCCCCTGGACTCCGGTTCTCGCTGTCTATTTTTTTTTTAATCTGACATATAACATGTAAATTGAAGGTGTGGGACATGTTGATTTGATACATTTCTATATTGTAATGTGATTGCTATTGTAGCAGTATTTAGCACTAACAGGTCATAGAATTACCATTTCTCTTTCATGGTGTGAAGAAGTAAGCTCTAGCCTTTGACTGTCTTGAACTTGGGGGTCAGGACCAGGGGCTCCTGAGCAGAAACTCTGCTTTCCATTGGTCCATCCTCTCATCAGGAGCCAGGTCCGTCCCTGTCAGCCCGTTGCATTTTGCTGTGGGATACCTGCTTTCTTTACTCACCTGCTGCCTCTCGTTTCACCACATCCTTGTAACAGCTACACTCTATTCTCAGCATTAGAACCCTGGCAGCTCAGACAGTAAAAATATTTGCCTGCAATGCAGGACACCTGGTTTCAATCCCTGGGTTGGGAAGATCCCTTGGAGAAGGGAATAGTAACCCACTCCAGGCAAATAGCAAGTATTCTTTCCTGGAGAATCCCATGCACAGAGGAGCCTGGTGGGCTACAGTCCATATGATCGCAAAGGGTCGGACACAACTAAATGACTAAGCATGCACAATCACTGTGTGACACCATCCTTAGAAATCTCCCACTTCTTTCCCTGGTTCAAGGAATAGCTCCTGATTTCTCTGCTTCACTCTCAGACCTTTCCTGATCTGTCTCCATAGCTGCCCATGGTTTGCTTTCACTACCAAGTAACAGCTTCTCACTACTACCATTTGTACTGACCACGCTTGTGTACATAATATTGTTATGACTGCTACTGGTGATAGTATTTTTTACCTTTGTTTGCACAGTTCTCTCATTTAAATCTTCCACAACCCTTTGAGGAGAATAGAATTGGCAGGCTTGAGTTCAGGGTTGTTTTTATTGTTGTTTCAGTAGGTGAACAGTTTATCAGTGGCCCCTGCATTGCATTTCTTCAGCTGGTGGCAGAGTCTGAGTCCTAGTCCAGCAAGCACTTCCCTCTCCTCCCTGCTGGGCCATTTTCCTCCTCATCCCCAAATATGCTCTTTTAAAAAACTTTTCTATTTCTCTCATTTATATTTGGCTGTGCTGGGTCTTCACTGCTGCATAGGCTGTTTTCTAGTTGTGGCGAGTGGGGGCTTCTCGTTGCAGTGACTTGTTGCAGTGGCTTCTCTTGTTGCACGGCACGGGTGCTAGGCACATGGGCTTCAGTAGTTGCAGCTCCCAGGCTCTAGAGCACAGGCTCAATAGTTGTGGCACATGGGCTTAGTTGCCCCACAGCATATGGGATCTTCCCAGATCAGGGATCAAACCTGTGTCTCCTACATTGACAGGCCGATTCTTTACCAGTGAGCCACCGGGGAAGCCCAATACAATCTTTTTGATATTAAGGCTCTCCAGCTTCCCAAGGTGAAATAACAGGCATATTTTCTAAATATGCTAAATTACAAGATGCTAAATACAAGATGCCATAACAAAACAGGGAACATAGGAGCATTGGGGAGAAGAGGATGTCTCATTTTAAGACGTTGAGTATTGGCTAACCGGATGGTGCTGGAAGAATATTGGGCACGTTCTGTAGGTACAGAGCTAGGCAAGGTTTAGATGACTCAGATTTGGGGGCCCTCTCGCCTTGCTAGCCACTGGCAGTCTGCTTGAACAGATCCATTGTGAATTCTTCCTTCAGAATTGGCGTCCTCTCCCCGTCAGCCTTTTCCTCAGCCAGGAGCTCTGGCGTCACCTTGCCTTTCGGAAGCTGTGTGGCTTGCATGAAAATTCAATGTTTGCTGTAGAGAAAGATAGCAGGAGTGAACAATGCCCTCTGCCCTTTGTTTGAAGCATTTAAGACCTTGGGAACGGGGCCGGGCTGGTGGCTTGAGCCAGCCGGCACTCAAAGGCTGCTCAGTGTATCAGCCTCAGGAAGCGAATGGCAGTAAAAGTACTTGTTTCTCTTACAAA